GTACGTACATCTCAGCATGGCAGGTCTTTAAACGCAAGACCAAATTAAGGGCACGAACATCCCTTTTCATTGTGTCTTCCTTTATGATGTCAAACTCGGCTCTTGATCTTTAATTTTACTTTAATTGGAATCATATATTTGAGTGAAATATATTGATCGTCCTTGCTATCCTTTCCCAACTGTGGTGTCTGCAAGGTCTAAATCATAACTAAGTCAATATTTGCACTGTAAAACTCTCCCCTCTTTTCTCCCTAGTGGTAAATTCCCAACCATTACTTCCATTAAAGGTCCACGTGCAGGAAGAAAAAAACCTAACCCCTCTGTTCTTCCCACTTCTCTGTCTTTCCATTTTTTTCATATTTTCAGATTATTACTCCAAAAATGCACATGCTCAGATACTCTTTAGAGTCATACTGTTAGCATACACTTCTAGCGTTGTTTTTTTTTTAAAAAAAAAAACACAAACCCCAAACATGTCATGTAAGTTGTCTAAAATAAAACTCATTAAATAGTTGAAAAAAAACCCCAACACCTCTCCTATGAAGACAGACTGAGAGAGTTGGGCTTGTTCAGCCTGGAGAAGAGAAAGTTCCAGGGAGACCTTCTAGCAGCCTTCCAGTACTTAAAGGGGGCCTACAAGAAAACTGGAGAGGGACTTTTTACAAGGGTGTGTAGTGATAGGAGAAGTGGCAATGGCTTTAAACTGAAAGAAGGTAGATTTCTATTAGATCTAAGGAAGAAACTCTTCACTCTGAGAGTGGTGAGGCACTGGAACAGGTCACCCAGAGAAGTTGTGGATGCCCCATCCCTGGAAGTGTTCAAGACCAGTTTGGATGAGGCTTTGAGCAACCTGATCTAGTGGAAGGTGTCCCTGCCCATGGGAAGATGTTGGAACTAGATGATCTTTAAGGTCCCTTCCAACCGAAACCATTCTATGATACACTTATCAAACAGGCTCAACTTCCCATAGAAGCTAGCCCTTTAACAGTTGTGTCTTGTATCTTTAGTCTTATTAACTCACTAACTGGAAAAAGAAAGATAAATGCAGCATCAGACCATGAATTATGCCCATGATGAAGGGTTAGGCATATATTTTCCATGGTAGCCTGTAGAGAGTCATCTGAGTCTCTAAGGACGTTTCACGTTGTCTTCATAATGGATTCTGTCTCTGTTCAGTTTTCTGACTGTCCTCAAATTTTTATTTGGAGAAAGAGTTCACATTATACTATCCCTTAAGCCATGTTGTGAAGAATTCCTGCCCCATGGGATGCCTCAAGCCTCGACTTTTGCGTCCTTTGGTGACGGAGGTTGCTGCCACAAAAGGCTCTCTAGGAGACAGGAACCTTGAGAAAAAAAATCTGGCATCAGCAACTATGTTGTGACCTTTTCATCATTGGAGTGCCTGGCTCTTGCTCGACTTTATTAGTATGAATGTTTTCCAAAGGGGGACTCTGGAAGGTGGAAACAACAGCATGAGGGTTATTCTTAAACGTGCTAGTGTAGGTTGAGAGTGATGCAAAGGTAAAGAGGAATGCATGAGAGGCAATTGCTGAAAGCGTAGGAGACCTGTAAGTGAAATTTCAGGGGAAACTGTGAGGTTTGGTGAAAGAAATTTGATCTGAAAGAAAGAAATCTCAACCAGAAACAGCTAGTAACCTTAACTCCAAAACCTAAATTACTTCAAATTAAGCAAGTATTTTTGCCATGATCAACAGTTTTACATTATGCAATATGTAACATAATTTGCAACAAAACTAATTTTTAAACAAAAAAATTAACAAGCTCCAATTTTCAATATCATAGGTCTTATTTTTAGATAAAAATGTAGTTTCTACAGGGTACAGATTGAGAAAGCTGACTTATGGCACCAATACGCAAGTGACATATGTTTTTCAGGTGGTTATTCCCCAATGTTTTCCTATCCCTCCTCTTCATGTCTATAGAAGGCTCAGGGATTCCTTCCATGCCCGTTTAATTTTAAACTGTTTTTCAGAATCGTGGGCTAACAGATGGAGAAAAGTAGTTGTCATTAGCTAGTCAAAGTAAGCATAGCTGCAAAGAGTTTGCAGCAATAACTGTGCATAGTTACACAATTCAGTCATCTTCCAGTTGAACTTCGGGGGACTGCATAAATCTATGGATGTACCAGATCGATCTTCCTGTGCTCTTGATGAGTGCTGCAGTTCATCTTGGTAACTTTGTACAGAGCTTCACATTCATGAAAAATATGGGGCTTTGAAGCAAAGAAGAGACCCTATTTGCAACTGCAGGCACCTGCAGAAGAGGCAGCCTGTCTCTGCTCTGCTGGCTCCCTGGTGGGAGCTGTGGAGGGGCCAGTGCCTCTGGATGCTCAAGAGTGCTCTTCGTGTCGAGGTAGGTGATGACCTGTGTGTAACACTGACAACAGGAGGCAGCAGGACAGGCTTTAGGTCTTGTTCCCAGGATCACGCAGCTTGAGAGCTGGTTTTGTAGGGTGTCATGGGCACGGATAAAGGATTTCTCCTTGTACCGAACCAGTGTTCATAGACTCAACAATGCTGGGTGTTTCCTCACCATTCTGTGAAAGTCCTGCAAAAAAGGGTGTTGGTAAAACCTAACACGTTGTCTTTAATTTTTCAAATTTCGAATTTCTGAAGCTGAATGAGGGAGCAAATATCTCATGGAGCTGAGAAAGATGTGAAATAAAAATTCCCCAAAGTTAACTAGAAAATCCAGAGATTCATTCTAGGCTATGCTTTAGCCTACCAGCTAATATGCTCTTGCTGCCTGCTCAGTAATTTGTCGGGAACAGGGAAGAAGAATCCAGACTTGGCAGGCTGGTGCTGCAGACAGATTTTGTCAGATGAAATTCCAGCAGACGTTAGTCCAACATCAACAGCTCCTGAGCTATCACATGGGAATGCACAAGGAGATAAAACCAACATCCTAAAGGGTGGATCCTCTATTTTAAGGGGCAGAGAAGGGAATCTGGCTAATGTAATTTTTTTTTTCTTTTCTTTGTGGAGTCGTTCAGGGAAATGATGGAAAATGCTGGTTCCAAACACAGATAAATTCTGCCTTCTCTTGAATTCTTCATAAAGTTGCTTAACTCCTCTCTCTTGCCTTTTCCTACATGTGAAGAGAGATTAATCCTATCTGCCTTTACCTCAGAGGGTTTGTGAGGGCAGAGTTTGGAAAAGAATTTGCCGTCTATGCAAAGAATCCACGAGTGTCTGCAGGGGAAAAAAACCCAGACCCTACCGTTGGGAAACTCCAGCACCAGTCGACTACTTTCTGGAAGTAGGGTGTCCTGTTACATAAACATCCTTGACGCTTTGCAGAAGGGGTGACATTCACATCGCATACGTGGGGCCTGACTAATTGGGCTTTGTGTGTGAAGAATGGGGATGAAAAGGATAAGGAAGTGAAATCCCCAAGGTGCAAGCTGGGCCTCCTTCTTCCCATGGCCTGTGCTGTTGCTTACGTGTTGAAAAGGGGTCTCAGAGCCTCCTGTACCACTGAGCTGATGACTGGGAACTCTGCGGGCCCCACGACCCAGCCTGCATCCTCACTCTGCCCTCCCCAGCAGTGTGGGAGGCATCCTGCTCAGCTCAGCAGCAAGCTGCGACTGCCTCCAGCAGTCACTTAGAGAGGATCCCTGTGCCCAGGGGTTGTTAACACCCCTTCACACTAAAATCTGCATTGACTCAGTGGTCCTGGTGTCTTTATGCATGAACAGTGTGCGGACCACGTAACTCTTGGCTGCTTCTACAAACAGTGGGATACAGGGACTACTAACTTCAGCAGCTCTGAGTTGCTCCTGGAGGAGTCTGCACCCTTCCACTGATTGTATAGGGAACCAAAACCCCATAGCTGCTGCTTTGATGGCCAAAGTCAGGAGGCACCAGCACCTCTCCATCCAAAACTCACTTGAGACCCAGGGCCCAGTTGTCCACAGCCCCACACCTTGTGACAAAGTGGAGCTGCAACGGGAGCTGAAAGTCATCACTTTATTTGCACATGCTTTGAAAGCTTTGTCATTAGTCCCAGGCAAAGAAAATAACCTGTTTCCTCTCCCAAGTCTTCACAGAAAACTACGCATAGAAGGGATGTACATAACTTGACAGTGTCTACTATAAAATTCACATGTATAATTTTCTGTATTTTATGGCAAACAGTATAATGGTTGGCAGGTTTTCCATTCTGCATAGCAGCTCTCAGGGTAATGGGTCAGATTTAGCAATTGGGATGGCAGTGAAAGGAACAGATTCACAAGCTCAAAGAGCCAGTGCTGAACTGGTTAGGAAAGAGTAAAATCTGAATTCCCAACTCTTTTTCTTTTCACAGCTGTTAAGAGTTCAGTGGGTTGAACTGCAATCCTTCAAGTTCATCTGTTGACTCCAACACAAAACTATTATAAACTGTGCCTCTAAAACACGTGATGAAACATTTCTTGAGAGCTATTTATTCCAACTGCAGCAGAGGAAAGTTTTCAGAACACCCGGCATTTGGTAGAGGAAAGGTCTCTTGAGCTTTGCAAAAGGAGGAATTGTTTGCATACCGACGTAAGCTGCTTTTTGATTTCTTTCCTGCATCATTGAATGAAATAATTCTTCTAACTTTTGCCCCTGCTGTGGAAACACAGTCAAGTAGCACAAAACTATACTTAAGTACCTAGCAGAGTATTTCTCTATAATTTTCTTTCTTCTTCTTTACTCATGTGGGTTGGGGTTTTTATAATTCAGAATGGCACTCAACATGATTTAATGTTATGTATTTTCTTTCCTCTAATGTTCTCTGTATCTGAATAACAGTTCATTCCCTTATGATATTAATGCAGAGGTATGACAGAGTGCAAGCTTCAGTCAGGTGTGTCCTGCAGGCTCTTACAAATCACAAGTAGTAAGGAGTAGTTTTGGGGTATCTTTTTTTTCAGATGATTTACATCTTTGATCTGAAGTTTGATCTTATGTATACATACACATTCTCTTCCAGGCTTTAGCTGTGGCAAAACAATTTCCATGCTGAAGATGGACCATGCAAACGTGACCCAAGCCATGCTTGATGCTGAATCCCACAACACAGAAAAGAGCAACAGCAACGAGTATTTTTACATTCTGATCGTCATGTCTTTCTATGGGATCTTCCTGATAGGGATAATGCTCGGCTATATGAAATCCAAAAGAAAAGAGAAGAAGACCAATTTGCTTCTGCTTTACAAAGATGAGGAGAGAGAATGGGGGGAAGCTGTGAAGCCTCTACCGACCGTATCAGGGCTCAAATCTGTCCAGATCCCCATGATGCTGAACATGCTGCAGGAGAGCATGGTGCCGTCCCTGTCCTGCGCCATCTGCTCGATGGAAGGCAGCAGTGTGAGCTCCGAATCCTCGTCCCCAGATGTGCACTTCACCATCCAGGAGGAAGTGCTGGATGCCGAACTGGGGGAAGTGTCAGAAACGCTCCTACATGAGAGCAGCGAGGGATCTGTGGAAAACATCCACAAGAATTCCTAGCACTTGCAGGACTCCCTAGATCAGCTGCCAAAGCATGAGTGGAGCTCCCACTTAGAACTTGCGGTCCTGCTTTCCAATGAACTCTCAACAGGTATTTGTGCCCCCGGGCCTGAGGTGTTCTTGAGAGCTGGCAGGATAAGGAAGCAGCAGTACCTAACTCCAAAGTGTAACTTGCACATAATTGGGATGCTTAATTTTAATTTTTCCATTATTATTTCTTACCATAAGAGCTAAGAACGAGGAGAATATATGTGTGTTTTCTAACAAGGTAACTATTATTGGCATGTCTCTGTATATTTCAGAATTCTGCAAGTATCTGGGAAATGTCTTAGGGTAACTTCCCTAAACAAGTGTCTGGTTGTTGAAAGTGATGGGTAATACTCCTTCACACAAAACTGTGATAGACTAGAAGTACTTTTACTGTGTTTTTCTTATAACAAAGCACAGCCAATAGCAGATTTGCTCAGTGAGACCTCAAAAGCTGAAAATTTGTTGATGCTGTAGTTGAAGGGAGATTGCGGCATGGCTGGAGACTGACTTCAGACACAGAGAGAAGAAAAGAAAAAGAAAAAAAAAAAAAAAAACAACCAAAGAGGCACTGAATTTCTAGCAGGTTTGTAAAGTCCAGTTTCAAATCCATGCCACTATATCTATCTTTGCTCAAGTCATACCTGCACTGGCTGGATCAGGTTCACTAACTTGGCTGCAATCCAGCCTTTGACTGAGTCACTAGTAGGAAAAGTGGTTTTGTTTTATGCTTCTGTATTTTTTTTTAAAGACATGTATATGTGATCACTAAAGGCAAAAATCTTGAAGTTAAAAAGACATTAAAAGATCTTTGTTATGAGGTGTGAGATGTAGAAAGGCTTGAACAAATGCTGCTCTGTTACACTCCCTTGAAACATTGGTGAAATTCAGAATAGAATTTAACCTAGCAAGGGTGAAATCCTGGCCCCACTGAAGTCACCAGCTGAGTCCTCCTGACTTCAGGGGACATGCACAAGTTTTTGTGCTTGTCTGTTGGAGTTAAATTCTCTATTTGAGGTCAGTGAAACTGTACCTATTTACACCATTAAAGAATCAAGCCTTTCTGCTCTATTAAAGCCAGTGCAGATACACGTTGCATTACATCATTTTTTTTAATCAGCTCGCATGTGACACATGCATTTCTATAAAGTCATTAGTAACTAGTTTTCAAAACCACCACAAACTTTCCCCCCTAATTTAATGGTACTGTGATTTTTTTCAAATGTTCATGAAATTAGTTACTAAATTATTGCACTATTAAAAGAAGTAATGTTAATATTGTAGCCATGTATGATTATTTCAATCATACCTTATATTTTATAATAACTTATTACAATGTTTGGATTAGTTCTGAACCATGAGGGCTAAAGAGCCTTAGTCTAAAGCATTGCACAGCAAAATGTTTGCAAAATGTCTCCACATATTTCCTGCGCTAAAATAGCTCTGTGATTTACCCGCTGGCATTGGAGCTTGAGAGATAGCTTGAAAAATATGAACGCTGAAGAGCAGAAAGGAACCGAGGCAAGAGTCTGCTGTACTTCTGCTGTTCAGAAGGGAGAACTCTACCTTTGGCTTGAAGGGTTAATGTGATGTAGCCTGCAGAGGTATCACTGCCTCTCTGTAACCACAGCAGAACAAAGGCTCCATTGTGCTCAGAAAGGGCCTGATTCAGATCAGACTGAAGGCAGTGGGAGTTTTTCCATAGACTTCAGTGAACTTTGGATCAGACCATATAAAGCTTTTTGGTAGATTTACTCCAAAAGGGGCTGTTTTAAGTTTGAAAGAAGCCAAATTAAGTTTGGCACTTTGCCTGGAATCACTTGAATCCTGAAACTTTCCAAATGAGACTGACATGCGCGAGTTGTCACATTTTCCATTGCTTTCTCCTTCGTCGTTTTACTTTGGTATAAATGTATTTGTATCTGTAAAAAACCTGATGTATATAATTCCTAACATCGAGTTGTATATAATTGTCTCATGTATTTAAAGTTTATTGTTTCTACTGGCACTAATTTTTATTTAAATAAAGAAACACATTTCCTGGAAAAGTTTCCATGTCTGTTCACTACATCGAACAGATTTCCAGTAATGAGACTGGGCAAAATTTCTACAGAATCCTTTTCTTAGCCTCTTTTTGAAATGATTTCTTGTGTTTGACAGTACTGCAGCATTGTAGGCTGACCACAGGGCTGAGCTGGGCGCTCCAGATCTGCCTTGGGTCTGTACTGGCTCTTGGGGGAACTGGGCAATTTCTTTACCCTCAGCTCCTGCCCAGGCACAGGCAGGGCCACAGGGATAGCCAGAATCCTCTTGCGAGGAGCTGGAGTGCTGGCGAGTCATTGAGGAGACTGGCAAAAGTGACAAGCTGCTATGAAAACGTTTTTGTCACTTATTTGGATTGTTGAAAAGTCTGCCTTTTGAGTTTCGGTCTTAAATGTGCATTGTAACAAATTGGATGGGCTGGGGTTGAGGTTATGGGCAAGTATCTGACATAAGTGTCAGTTCCCACTGCGTTTTCAGTACTTGGCCATGGTATGTAGCTGGGTTGATCACAAGCTTTGACCTTGGGTCTTGCTGCTGCTCTGTCCTTTCCAGCATCAGGGATAGGGGAGGTTTCAGGATTTTGGCTCCCAATGCAGGGTGGAAGTGTTTAGAGGCAACTTGGCACTTCCATATCTCCTTCAAGCTGTGACAGTGTGTACAGGGTTGCGGGCACTGGCTGAGACCCACTTGCATGGGGTAATTTGAAGTTGTTTCAAAAATCAGGTTGCTATAAAGTTATGTCTGCTCACTTTCCCACAAAACCTGTTCCCCTGTGTTCTGCTCTCTTCACTCACTCCCTATTAAGTAATTCTGGGGCCTGTTCACAAGCTTCTGTGGACCTAAAGCTACCCATCAGCAAGACTGCGTTTCCCTCCGGCAGTGTAATCTCCCAGGACACCCACAGTGTCCTGGAATTGAGGGTCAGTAATGTTGCATCTTCCACATTTACCCATGCCGTTGTTTCAGTGTTTCCATTGCCACAATAATGAATCAAGAGACTTCTGACAGCACTGGTGATAAGAAGGAAAAACAGAACAAAATGTAAATTACAGCTCTGCTTTGTGGATAAAAAAGCTAGCTTATTCCAGCAGTTGCTTGTCTTAAACTGAGCGCTATAAAGAGAAACACTGTGTGCTTTGGGGTCTATTTGAACTGAAATGAGCTAGTAAGCATTAAAATGTGGCCACCTCCTTGCAGAGTATGATGGACCTGTCCTTGGCCCATGTCATTTAAGAAAGTATGCTTGATAGTTTGGTATGTATTTGTCTTTCTCCTAGGATGTTTGTCTTTGTCCAAATTAGTATTTTGATGGCACCAGAGGGGGAAAAAAGAAGCAAAATGTATTTTAGCTATAGAAGTTAATTGGATGTACAACTGAATGCAATGGTGCCTTGAAGACAGACCAGTAACCCAAGACTACCAGGTAGGTATTATTCCAAAATAAAAGAAACATTGTTAATCTTGAAAAGCTACAGATGGAAGGAAGAAAATTGCCCCCATTAAACATGTTTCAAAATCCTTTTGACTACTAATGAGTAAAAGGTAAAAAAGTTTTGGTTTTTTTTCCAAAAATGACAGACATCTCCAGTGTGCTTTAGTAACTGAGTTAAATCAGATTCAGAGCCAATAGATCTTGGCTTGAGGGCAATGATAATTGGCTATAATTTGACTGAATGGAGGTGATTTTATTTTTACAAATGCATTCTTTCTTAAAAGAACACAGCAATTAGGCTCCCATCTCTTGGCAGTGCTATAGATCCTACGTTTGCTGGAATAATTAATGCGTATCACCTTTGATAGAACAGGAGGAGATGGCCACATGTGGCATGTGTACATGGTCTAGCTCCAGGCTCTACTGTACAGGTAAGTGCCAGCTCTCAAGATGACTACATTGAGATCTGTGATAGTAGCTGGCTCATTTACAATCCTAAATCGTACCAGCGGATCACGTATAGACGCACCTGTGAAGTTGTTCATTCAACAGATTGAACCTGCTGACTAACTGGAGTGGAAATGCAGGGCCTATCTATTCCCCAGGCTCAGGATCTCCCAGGCTCTCCCAGGACTGCCAGCCTCTGG